CCTTAACCTCTCGGCCACCTCGTCTTAGTACGTATCATAATGTATCGATATGATACCGTACGTTACGTAATGATGGCAGTGCGGTGTTCGACAAAAGGGTCATCCTGAAGCTAAATATCGACGAGGATGGGATTTGAACCCATGCGTGCAGAGCACAATGAATTAGCAGTCCATCGCCTTAACCTCTCGGCCACCTCGTCTTGCAAAGTATTCTAATGTATCGATATGATACCGTACGTTACGTAATGATGGCAGTGCGGTGTTCGACAAAAGGGTCATCCTGAAGCTAAATATCGACGAGGATGGGATTTGAACCCATGCGTGCAGAGCACAACGGATTAGCAGTCCATTGCCTTAACCTCTCGGCCACCTCGTCTTGTAAAGTAGTCTAATGTATCGATATGATACCGTATGTTACGTAATGATGGCGGTGGTGTTCGGCAAAAGGGTGATCCTGAAGCTAAATATCGACGAGGATGGGATTTGAACCCATGCGTGCAGAGCACAACGGATTAGCAGTCCATCGCCTTAACCTCTCGGCCACCTCGTCTTGCTTGATATTTTAATTTATCGATCAGATACCGTACGTTTCGTTATGCTGGGAACGCATTTGGCAAAAGGATGAACCTTAAACATCGACGAGGATGGGATTTGAACCCATGCTTGGCAAAAGGATGACCCTGAAGCTAAAAATGCGGCGTTACATGGTCAAGAAAATGCTGGGAGCCTGACGACTTCGAGAAAAAAAAAAGGTTCTGGCAGTTTTCACTCGTGATGTCATGTTATTTCCTGCACTAAAAATTATATGACAACTTCAAGATAACTTCAGACACCTTGTCTTTTCTGGTAGTCGGATGTTTGACTCATATACAATATAATACAAGCCGTAAATGCGTATAATACGCTAGAATACCTTTAATCCAATACACTGTGACAAAGGCTGCTCAACCTTGGCCTTCGTGTCTCCCCAGCCGACCAGACATCGCCCTCCTCTGGTTCCTGATCCCCCTAAAGGCGGCCAAGCACCTCATATGCGACCAGTACCGCTGGCTCACCATCAAGATTGTCTGCGCTCTGCTTGTTTTGGCCATCTTGGCGCTCTTCCTCTACAACATGCCCGGTTACATGGTGAAGAAAATGTTAGGAGCTTGACTTCACCATTCTTATTATTCTAACTGTTGTTGGGTTTTGTTCTTTTATGAATATTTTTTTCTCAGAGCAAAAATCGCATGCCATTTGTGACATTACATGATTAGCTGTAGACATTTTGACAAGACTTCCATTGGTTTGAAATGTGGTGTTCCGTCATGTGGCGCACCATTCGAGTGTTTGCCTTGGCTCCAAAATTCATAACTAATTGCTTCAACTGTGTTTTTCTCATGTTGTTTGTATGGGACGGGATAAAGCCGGACTGCATATTGTACCATATTTAACATTTGTGAATAAATGACAGCTTTAATCCATATTTATTGTCATTGCTCCCTGCTTTCTTTTATTAGTCCTCCTCTCGTCTTTTCATCCAACTTTGTTTCTTTCTGACCTCTACCCCTTCTTTCTTTATTCATTTCACTTGGTCAACGTTCCTCCCTCTTTTCCTTTCACGCTATCTTTGTTTCCTTCATTCCATCCCTTCACGCATCCTTCCAAACGATTTGAATTTTTCCTCCGTTTAATTCAAAAAGCGTCGAGCCACATTTTGGCCCATCGTGTACGTATTGGTAGTGGAAGTGGGAGCCTGTGGTAGTGGCGGGCGGCTGCGGTTAGTCAGGCACCAGCTCGGACACCTCAGCGCAGTCGGCCGGTCTCCTCCGCGGATGGACACCAGTGGCCCAAGCCGAGCAGCTGGCGACATTTTCGGATAAAGCCAGGTACGCTTCGCCGGTTCGCTCAGCATGCGAAAGACTATTCGGTCTCGTAAAGACGCAACGCGAGCTGTTTGGACTCATGTTGTGTGCGTGCGTTCGGTTTTCATGTGCAAAAGGGAGTGAGCGGTTTTCAAGGGGACGCTAACCGGGGCTAACGTGTTAGCCGAGGGAGTGTCCGTCTCGGGACAGCCGCCAACGCCAAAACACACCTTGGATAAATTCAAGAATCATCCAAATCATACACGTAAACCCCACAATTGCCAGCTAGCTCATTTCTATCGTAACAGCGCCGCCGATGTTACTTTTGAGTGTCGATCATTAACAGAGAAAAATATAGATTACGTTCCATTCGCGAGGCTGGTTTCAATCATCTTTAGATATGATGAATTACGTTTTTTTTTTTGTGACGAAATTTGTTCTCCAGTCATGAAACGAGTCTTTAATTGTCTTACGTGACAAGTGTATCCCCAATTTGATGCTAATTTGCGTCATGTGCAATTTTGTCTTTCAATCACAAGATGGCGCCAAATGTCACATTTAGACGTTGCGTGATGAACAAGCCAGTCACCACTCACATTATGAACAAAAGGAGCCATTATGTTGGGACGTGACAACAAAATTGTTTGTTTTCCATCATCATCAATGTCTGATGGAATAAAAGAACAAAACGGTGTTTAATTATGGTCAGTCTGTTCAGAATCAAAGAAGTTATGGCATTTTAAAGGCTTCAAAAAGCGGGCAAAAATGGTTCACGTTCTCCATTGTTACAATGGAATGGCCTCTCAGTGACTGAATGCCTGTGCAAAGTGGTGTGTGGCTCTCTGGGGATAAGTAAGAGCGCAGAAAAGGACGATGACCCGCTTGACCTTAAGTATGCATTTCCACTCAAAATGAATTACTTGGTGTGTGTGTGTGTGTGGCAAATGCAGTCACAATACACAAGAATAAACAATTATAGTATGCTTTACACCCCCTATTTTTTTGCCTTGCTGAACCGAGCAGTTTTTGAAGGGTGCTGTCTGTCCTGTTTCATGCAAGCAGGCAAATGTGCTCCCAGACCGATATTCTGCTTGGTCAATGATGACTGTGGATTTCGTTACCATGACAACTGGGAGCAAAACCTGGGTGTTTTAGATACATTAATAACCAGGAAAAATAAAAAAATGAGTGCCTAGATTTGAATTGACCAATTTTATGGAAAGCAGCTAAATAAATAATAGTAATAAAAAAAAATCTTTCAGGACACTTACGCATGCACAGTAAACTGAAGAGCGGTGTGGCCAGTGAATCGAAGAACAACTCGAAGGTTGAACAGGAGCCCTTGGATGTTGATGGATCCAAAATGGTAGCTAAATGAATAATAATAATAAAAAAATCTTTTAGGACTCTTACGCATGCACAGTAAAGTGAAGAGCGGTGTGGCCAGTGAATCGAGGAACAACTCGAAGGTTGACCAGGAGCCCTTGGATGTTGATGGATCCAAAATGGTGGCTCTTTAGCACAAAATTGTGCTCAAATGCTCAAGCTGTGACTCAGCTGACTGTGAGAACCAATTTTGTGCACGCTGCAAACTGGACCTTGCACCCACTGCAGAGGGATGACAATACAAAAAGGCCGAGGCGTGCAGTCAAGTTAATCCGGGCTTTGTTTGATGCGCATCACGTCGGCCTTTTGTCCCCGGACCGAATCAACCCATACTACCAAACGCCTGTTTGCCGGCAGTTTATCTGCTGGAAATGCCATTGCATGTCGTGGCTGTTTCAAACGTGAGCGCAGTCCACGCGCGGACCAAGATAGGGTGTCCAAGAACAGGTTGTAGTTGGGATAGACATGGCCATTGATTCTGAAGTCTGGAAGAGATTTGCACCTTCCAATCGAAATCAGGTCTGTGGTGTAAAAACACGCCGATTTATGGCAAACGTCTGCGCAGTGGTACCCTGGCTTGCAAGTGCAACAGTTTACGAGTTTTACAAGTTAGAAGCTGTCACTGCCGATTCATTTCTTTTTTCTTTGTTGAGGGCCGAAATTTAAGGGACGTCATTCAAAAACAGGAATTTATTTCAAATTGTCATTGCAGAAAATGCACAAACATTCACAAATGTCGAGACGCTTGCAAACTGGACCTTGCACCCACTGCAGAGGGATGACAATACAAAAAGGCCGAGGCGTGCAGTCAAGTTAATCCGGGTTTTGTTTGATGCGCATCACGTTGGCCTTTTGTCCCCGGACCGAATCAACCCGCACTACCAAACGCCTGTTTGCCGGCAGTTTATGTGCTGGAAGTGCCATTGTATGTCGTGGCCGTTTCAAACGTGAGCGGAGTCCACGCGCGGACCAAGATAGGATGTCCAAGAACAGGTTGTAGTTGGGATAGACATGGCCATTGATTCTGAAGTCTGGAAGAGATTTGCACCTTCCAATCGAAATCAGGTCTGTGGCATAAACACGCCGATTTATGGCAAACGTCTGCGCAGTGGTACCCTGGCTTGCAAGTGCAACAGTTTACGAGTTTTACAAGTTAGAAGCTGTCACTGCCGATTCATTTCTTTTTTCTTTGTTGAGGGCCGAAATTTAAGGGACGTCATTCAAAAACAGGAATTTATTTCAAATTGTCACTGCAGAAAATGCACAAACATTCACAAATGTCGAGACAAAAATCTTTTTGCCAGTGTCTTATTTTGATTCAACACTGAGATAATCAGTCTGCTCTTTGTATATTTACTGCCAACGAGACAAAAATTCAGTCCTTGGACAATTTTAGGTTGACTTCAAACGAATCAAATAGCTGTTAAAATGATACATGATTAATTGTTCAGATTATTATTTAAATTGAGATTATTAAATTGATTATTTGTTGCACCTCATGTGGTTAGGATGACGTAGCGATGCCTTGCGTATAACATCAGTCCCACATAACACTGCTGTGATAATAATAAGATCAATAACAGCAGTGGGAAAAATCCAAACAAACAAACAAAAAAAAAGCCTTGTAATTGCGAGTAGATGCCACAAGATGGTGGCAAGGAACTCAAAACGGAGAAGGGTACCATGCATCTAACATGTACGCAGTCATGAACCCATGTTACACAAATGAGTGTTCAACCATTCACGGTCAGTAAACGCACCTTTTGTCAACAAAAAGCTGCACAGGCAGTGCGAAAGGGGTGTCAAACTGTGGGCTTTAGGACCCAGCACCTTTTTTTGGAGCCCTCCCGCCCTCCCTTTCTCTCTCCCATCGCACACCCACAGCACCACACGCCGATGATGCGCTCAGTCCGCTTCCAACCTCTGCATTTACTTTGGAGACGTGAAGAGTGAACAAGTGCCACTGGCGCGCTAGCCGCCTCGTATCGTTTTTGCGGGGGTAGCGGACTCGGGGAACATGTCACAAACCAGGAGGAGCACGTTCAGCCGGGTGAGTGTGTGACACCATTTCTTTGTTCCGCTTTGAACTCAGGTGGTCAGGACCGTTCGTACGCCAGGTGTGTGGTTTTTTTTTCCCCTGAGGACTTCCTGCCGGTCGGCGCACATTGCGTGCCACCCGAGTGATGACGTCACTTGCCACGCTTCTGTTTTATTACCTTTTAGTGTTCTTAAGCTTGTCTCCTGCCTGTTTGGGGATGGCTAAGTACTGATATCAGATATTGGTATCGGTGCAGATATCAGGCTAATTTTGAGGTATCGAACTCGCAACGGCGGCTGTTACCAGTATCGGCCGCCCTCTTGTGGACATTTTATGATCAGGAACTAGAAATTAGAAATGAAAGATGTAAGCAAAGAGTAAAATTGCTGTATTGGATTATATAGGTCTTCTTTTTAAAAAAATCATCTCTCATTGTGGTTTGGGGGGAAGTTAAATGTATCAAAAGTACTCGTGGTATCGCCGCTTGGTGTCAGTAATCCTAAATAATTCAGCTATCCTCGTCATCCTGTATGTTTCAAATAGGGAAGCGACAAACAAGTTTATATGTATTTTCAAATGTTGTCATCCATTTATAGCTTACCGTGATGCTTTTACTTGTGCGTCTACCGGCTTATGCTCGGCCATTCCTTAGCCGTCGTGGTTTTATCTTTCTTAACATTCCCCAAGGTATTGACACACAACAAAACGGTCTTTATGCTTTGTATTCCGTTTTTGTGTGTGTTTGTGTGCGTGTGTAAGGTGGATTTCATCTCAAGATGAAGTTTAGCAACGGCTGTTTCTCAACAAGGATGTGGTGGACGTTGTACTTTACAGTGTTCACTGTGCACCACGAAAAGTATTCTGAAGACTGTAAAAGCGAAGCTCTGTGAATTGCATCAAGCAAGTATTGAAAGGCTGCAAATTCTTTTGAACGTGAGGTTTCTGTAGTCTTTCAATTAACGATTTGCAAACATTTCATGAAGAATTTTTTTCCATATTGTGATTTTTGTATGAGGCTGTAACAGAGTAAAACCGTTTCGACTTTACGGCTCAACTGTATCTCAACCTTGCGTTTTTGTTGTGCAGCAGCAGAGGGCCTGTTCGTATTTGAAAGACAGTCAGAGGCGGGAGGGTAAGAATAAACTGCTGACTCACCAGCGCTCTCGCGGCCGCACGCGGCGTTATTTCCCGCTTGGGCGACGTCACCTATTTTAACCGAGTGGGAGTCTGATGGGACCCTCCGCACGTGGTCCCGTGCGGGCCCGTCCGTCGGCCTGCAAATGACACTTGCTCTCATTTGTATCCCTAAGGGTGGAGTTGCCTCCAAAAACACATTTAAGAGTTGAAGTCACTTTTTTTTTTTTCGGATCTTAAGTAGCGAGTCATACCATGGCACATCACATCATAGCGAAGCGTAGCCTAGCATACATAGCATCTTTAAGCTAGTCCCCATATCCTCACACGTCGTGTGCTCAAGACCGCGGAGTTGAGACCACGACATTATTTTTACAAAGCTGAACACTTCAAGATCATTCTCTTTTTAATTTGGATTTCCTTTCAAAGCCCCCCCAACAAAACAATTCAAATGGACTTAAAAATGACTTGGAAATATCGCCAACGTAGCTGATTTGGCATCGTAAAATACAGTACATGCCTGTTCGATAAAGAAGACCGTGTAAGGTGGAATTAAATGCTATTTTCTGAAGTATTCATGATTCTTAATTAATATGCTCATCGAAGGCATTTTGTTTGTTTGTTTTGAAACTGTGTGTGCCGTCTCTCCCACGCAGACGGCCAGCAGCCCCAGGATGAGCTCGGACGGAGACGGCGGCGGCGGCGGTGGGCGGCCCCCCAAGGTGGGCTCCCTGGTGGAGGTGATCGGCAAGGGCCAGCGCGGCACGGTGGCCTACATCGGCACCACCCTCTTCGCCTCGGGCAAGTGGGTGGGCGTCATCCTGGGCGAGGCCAAGGGCAAGAACGACGGCACCGTGCAGGGCAAGCGCTACTTCACCTGCGACGACGGCCACGGCATTTTTGTCAGACAGTCGCAGGTACCGCTGTCGACACGGGGGGCCGGCAGTCTCAAGGCTACTGAATTGCACATTTAAAAAAAAAAAAAAAAAAAAAGTAGTGATAACTACCTCTTGTAATAATCAAAGTGGGAGTGAGTCTGTTGGCTCAGCGAGAATATTTTCTTCTGCTTCCACCTGTTCCCTTTTTGTTTTGGACAAAACACATCATGTTTTTCCTACCTAGAGCATGTTTTGACTTTGTAAGGTACCAGAAGCACTCATGTGGGCAACATGAAATATTTATACGGACTACCTAAATGTTCGAAATATATTTTAATGTTTTGTTGGGTTTGTTTTCCCCTGGTTTCACGTGGAACGTAAATAATTATGACATGTTTCTGCTGGAAGAATTTTGTAAGAATACCTTTGATTATTATTCATTAGTGTTACTATTAATTTTAACTTGATTTACATTATTTCAAGTGAATACAATTGTTTTAAAAAAACGTGATTAAAATGTTGACTTTTCGTGATTAAAACGTATTTAATTGGCACTTTTAATTACTAAATCATAAATGTTACTCAGGCGGCCCGGTAGTCCAGTGGTTAGCACGTCGACTTCACAGTGCAGAGGTTCCGGGTTCAATTCCAGCTCCGGCCTCCCTGTGTGGAGTTTGCATGTTCTCCCCGGGCCTGCGTGGGTTTTCTCCGGGTACTCCGGTTTCCTCCCACATTCCAAAAAAAACATGCTTGGTAGGCTGATTGAACACTCTGTATTGTCCCTAGGTGTGAATGTGAGCGTGGATGGTTGTTCGTCTCTGTGTGCCCTGCGATTGGCTGGCAACTGATTCAGGGTGTCCCCTGCCTACTGCCCGAAGACAGCTGGGATGGGCTCCAGCACCCCCGCGACCCTAGTGAGGATCAAGCGGTTCGGAAGATGAATGAATGAATAAATGTTACTTACATTTTTTGTTTTAAACCAAAATTCAATCAATATAATTGAGCGGTTTAAAAAAATAAAAAATAAAACACCAACTTCCACAAGTATGTATCTATTAAAAAGTCTGCCAAAAAAGCTCCCTCCGTTCAATTTATTGATGTTTGCTTTTGGTTTCAGATCCAACTGGTGGACGACGGCGCCGACACCACGTCCCCAGAGACGCCCGAGCCCAGCGCCACCAAGGTGCCCAAGCGAGGTAACACTCTGGCAGCCATCTTGACCTTTCTCTTTTATGACACAACTCTTCACCTTGTCTTTTTTTTTCTTTATTTTAAATATCATTGTTGTTTGCACCAAGATCTTTAACATCCCTCTTCCTCTAATTTCCAGACATCCAGGACACATCAAAGTCCACCAAACTGGTGAGTCATATCTGGAGGATGTATGAAAATATTAAATAAAAACAACCACAAAAAAAATGTCACTTAAACAGGATTCACCATTACAAAATGAATAATTTCTCACGTATCCCTCATCATCCTGGTCTTAGTCTCTTCGTCTTATAAAAATACAAATGCACACATTCCCGTTTTACTTTCATTTTTTTTTTTTTTTTTTTAATCCCGATTGGTGAATGGTAGCCGTCTTCTTGTGGGAGGTTGATTTTATTATTCTCGGCGTGCTCACTTTTGTGAGGTACTGTTATTTAAAGGTATCGCAGTTTTGTTTGGATGACTCATTCTCAAAAGGATACATTGTTGAGAGGTCCTCGGCCAGCAGAGGGAGCTCTAACCAGCCACGATGACATTTCTGGCCATTTTACTCAACATCATGTTTGCATGAAAGGAAAAAAAAACTTTCAACTCTGGTTAAAGTTCACTTCTTGGTATTTTAGTCTTCAATCGTAGCTCATGCCCTGTGCGCGCCTCCAATTTACTGTAAAAAATCTACTCTTCATGCACAAAACAAGTCTTCATATAGGTTACAGAATATGATATTTTTTTTGTCTGTGATTCTTTTGCTTGCCATAAGAGTGGCCGTGTACCACACTTTGAGATTCACTGGATTAAGGCATTTTAATGCATAAAAAAAAATCGTTAACAATCTGAATGGGTGGATGGATTTTTTTTATTTATTTATTTTTTTAGTTGTGCATGAATGTTGTTGTTCACAAAAGGAGTACTCAAACAGAGGAGGGCATACACACAAAATTCAATGCCATCTAAAATGGATTTAAACCCGCACTGAAAAAAAAAGTCTGTTGGATTGACACCAAAAAAAAAAGTAGTATGGCCATTGGTCACACAAATGAATAGGATTTTATTTGGTGTTGGTGAAGCCTCGTGTTCATGTGTGCAACCGATATCCATATTTTCTTGATGTCAATCCAACAGATTTTTTTTTTCCAGTGTGCATTTCATGACATCTTAACTGGCGGCGAGATGCATGTGTGCGCCAGGCGCAGACACGACCCGTGTCTGTTCCCTCCTCATTTCCTCCGGCATGCCACTGACCAGCGTGACTGTAACTCCTCATCCTCCACCACTTCCTTCCTTCCTTCCGTCCTTCCTTCCTTCCTTCCTTCCACTACGCAGCGAGGAGTCAAGGCCAAAAAGGTGCGGCATGTTTCCCTCGCCTCACGGCACCATGTTAAGCGTCGTGATAACAGTGGCAAGCAAGCGTAGCGCAGAAAAGGCACCGCTCTCATCCAAATGACAGGAAGTGGGCACGGCTGCCGCTTCCTGTCACGCGACCATGCTCTCGGCTCTGGCTTGTTTGTTTGTCAGCTTGTTTGTTTGCTTTTTTTTTTTTTAATTTAAAAAAAAGTGCAGTTTGGCCGCATAGCCGAGCAGATGATATGGTATTAGTATGACGATATCACGCTACAGGAATAATATGATGACATGAGGATGGAAAAGATGTACAGATGATATCCTGTGGGGGGGGGGGGGGCAAAGCTAAAATATGTTTCATCTTTATGAATTAAATTCGATTGAATCAATCCTTCAAGACAAGTTTTTTTTTTAAAAATGGCCCTAAAAAAAAGCCATATTGGTCGGGCCCGACTCCCGCCTGCCGTTTTCTTTGCTAAAAAGCCACGGCAGTCAGAGCGGTGATCATAGTGATCACCTCTGCTAATCTCCTTCTCGCAGCGCGAGCGAGCGAACTCTAAGAGGATTAATTCCGGCGAGGATGATGATGCTCCCATCAGCTGCCAAACCCAAAATACTTTCATGTGCGCGGGGGTGGTGTTGGTGGACCGTGGGTCACCCAAGCCCAAAGAACGAGACGGAACAAAGTCCGCAGGGTTACAGCAAGTTTGTAGGCGACGCCATCACCGCTCAGCCACGGGAAAATGTGTTTTGTTGGAATATTAAACAACTTCCTGTCAGAGGACGAGCGCAGCGTGCGGGGCGTCTCGAGTTACCCCCGCTGGGTAAATTGCAACGTGGATGACGGGAAGTCATCAAGACGGCTTGCTGCTATTGTCAAGCAAACGGGGGAATAAGCAAGGACTGCGGCTGCCGAACGGGCAAAATTGCCACCTAATTCCTTTCCCTTTGAAAGAAGATAAAAACGGTGTGTTTTTATGTATTTCAAAAAAATGTATGAACTTTTGCACGTACATACATATTTAAAAAAAAATATTAAAAAAAGAAATAAATATAGGGTTGCATCATATTTTTAAAAAACTGGGCAATATCTTGAAACATTTACATTTTTTTTCTTGTAGCCATCATTAGAGCACATTGATCAGGCTTTTTCTTCTTTTTTGTTCTTTTTTTAATTAAAAAAAAAAAAATTTTAACCCCACATCCTCAACCTTGCACTTTACATCGGAGATCACTTGTAGCTCACATTGATCAGGCTTTTCTTTCTTTTTTTTAATAAAAAAAAAATATATATATTTTTAACCCCACATCCTAAACCTTGCACTTTACATCGGAGATCACTTGTAGCTGCGGCAGCTATTAGTGTTGCTCGGAGACGGGGCCGGGGGGAGCCTCGCATCCACAATGGTGCGGCTCATTTCTCCGCTCGATCCTCCCGCCTGCGTGTTTTTTATTTATTTTTTTTACATTGTCTCCTTGCATCGCCAGCCTCCACCCCCCGAGCGGTTAACAGATAACCCTTCTCCCCCCGGTGTGGTCGCCGTGGCGATGAGTGGTTGAAAAGGCAGGGAGGGGAGAAGGCACGCAGTGATGTAATGCGGGAGCAGGGCATTGGATGAGAGGGCT